TTATGAGGCTACATTACACTGAAAGCAAAATCAGTCAAAGACACAGCAAAAAAGAAGAACCACAAGACCAATATTTCAGATGAATATAGGTGTAAAAATTCTCAGTAAAATACCAGTGAATCAAATCCAATAGCTCACAAAATATTATATACCATGATCAAGTATGATGGTTGAATCTATGCAAATTAATGAACAATATGACCACATTAACAAAATGAAGGTCAAAAAGCATGATCATTCAACAGATGCAAAAAGGTGTTTGATAAAAATTCAATACCGTGGGCTTGGAGAGCTGCTCAGCAGTTAAGAGCACTTATCACTCTTCCAGAGGACCTGGGTTCTATTCCCAGCACTCACATAGTGGCTAGCACCCACCCTTAACTCCAGTTCCAGGGGATCTGATGCCCTCTTCTGGCACCATAGGCACCAGGCACACACCTTGTGTACTTACATGCATGCAGATAAAACACTCGTACAGGGGGCTGGAGACATGGCTCAGTAGTTAAGAGCACTGGCTGTTCTTGCAGAAGGCCCAGGGTTTGAATCCCAGCTGTAACTCCAGTTCCAGGGGAATCTGACCCCCCTCTTCTGACCTCCACAGGCACTACATGACACAGGTGCACTTACACACATGCAAGCATAACAGTCATACACATAAAAATAAATATATAAACAAAACACTCATACACATGAACTAAAAGTAAATTCTTAAAAAATTCAACATCCTTTTATGATAACCCTCAAAAAATTGATTATATAAGTAATTTACCTCAACACAGTAAAGGCTGTGTACAAAATACCTGTGGCCAATGAGGAACAGCTGCAGCTGTTTCCTTTAAGATCAAGAAGAAGACAAAGATAAGTGTCTTCATCATCGTATATCAGCAAAGTATTGGAAGTCTTAGCCAGCCCTGTCAGGTTCTCAGGGGAGGAGGAAGTCAAAGTATTCCTGTTTGAAGACAACCAGATTTTATATATAGAAAGATCTTTTATTTTAATTACTTTTAATCTTATGTGTATGACTGTTTTGCTCTCTCTCTCTCTCTCTCTCTCTCTCTCTCGTATATATATGTGCATATATGCATGCAATGCCCACGAAGTCCAGAAGAGGGCATTGAATCCCCTGGAACTAGAGTTACAGGTGGTTATTAGCATGTGGGTGCTAGGAACTGAACCCAGGTTCTCTGCAAGAGCAACCAGTGCTTTTAACACTAAGCCATCTCTCCAGTGCCCTATACAGAAAGATCTTAAGCCATCACCAAAAACCCATTTTAACTAATGAATGGATTTAATGGGGTTGCATGATACCATATCAGCTTTTTTAATATATCAGTAATAAACTAAGAAAAAAAAGTCAAGAAAGCAATCCCAGTTACAATGGCTTACCAAAAAAACTACCAATAGGAGTAAATTTAACCAAGGAAGTGAATGACTGCTATACAGCAAATTATGATGCATTAATGAAAGACAGAAAAAGGAAAAATGTCCAGATTACCAAAAGTGATCTGCAGATTGGTGCAGCTCATATCAAAATACTAGTGACAGTCTTTGCAGAAATGAGACAGAATGGGCTTCTAAAATTTGTATGGAACCAAAAGCCACAACACACACCAAAAACAAAAACAAAAAACAAACCCACAAAGAGGACCAATAGGATAGCCAGAGGGAAAAGAAGGCTGGAGCCATTGTAATGCCCACTTCAAAATAGTCTACAAAGTGATATTAATGGTACTGCATAAAAACAGACACGTAGGCCAAAAGAACATTCTAGAGAACCCAGAAATAGTCGGACTGATTTTTGACAAGTGTATATACTGGAGAAAGTATAGTCTCTTCAATAAACAGTACTGGAAAAACTGGCTATTTTTATGCAGGAGAAAGAAACTAGACCCCTATCTCTCACCATACAACAGAAACTAACTTGTAAAGATTTAGAGACCAAAATGTAAGATCTCAAACTATAAAGCCAGTAGGAGACATCGAGTTGCTTTTAGGAGATTGGTCTAGGCAAAGATTATTTTGAATAGGCCCATAAAAGTACTGGCACCAAAAGCAAACACCAATAAATGAGCTGACACAAAACTAAAATCTTTTGTACAACAACAGTAACAACAGAGAAAAGAGACAGCTTGCAGAATGGGAGAGAATATTTGCAGACCATTCATCTGACAGAAAATTCATTTCCAGAATATATAAATAACTAAGCAGCAAACCCTCGAGTAAATGAATTTAAAAAAATGGGCAGGCTAGCCGGGTGTGGTGGCGCACGCCTTTAATCCCAGAGGCAGAGGCAGGCAGATGTCTGTGAGTTCAAGGCCAGCCTGGTCTACATAGTGAGTTCTAGGCCAGCTGGGCCTACAGGGAGCCCCTATCTCAAAAAGACGCCCCCCCAAAAAAAAGGGCAGTCTAATGCCTAGCACACCGGAAGCAGAGGCAGGCAGATTTCTGGGAATTCAAGGGCAGCCTGGTCTACATAGTGAGTTCTAGGCCAGCTGGGCCTACAGGGAGCCCCTATCTCAAAAAGACGCCCCCCCAAAAAAAAGGGCCGTCTAATGCCTAGCACACCGGAAGCAGAGGCAGGCAGATTTCTGGGAATTCAAGGGCAGCCTGGTCTACATAGTGAGTTCTAGGCCAGCTGGGCCTACAGGGAGCCCCTATCTCAAAAAGACGCCCCCCCAAAAAAAAGGGCCGTCTAATGCCTAGCACACCGGAAGCAGAGGCAGGCAGATTTCTGGGAATTCAAGGGCAGCCTGGTCTACATAGTGAGTTCCAGGGCAGCTGGGGCTACAGGGAGACCCTATCTCAAAACAGACCCCCCCCCCCCCCAAAAAAAGGGCAGTCTAATGCCTAGCACACCGGAAGCAGAGGCAGGCAGATTTCTGGGAATTCAAGGTCAGCCTGGTCTACATAGTGAGTTCTAGGCCAGCTGGGCCTACAGGGAGCCCCTATCTCAAAAAGACGCCCCCCCAAAAAAAAGGGCAGGCTGGAGATGTGGCTTAGTAGGTAAAGTGCTTGCATGACGATCTGATTCTCAGCTCTCATTGTAAAAGCCGGCTATGGCAGTAAGTGCCTGTAATCCTAGCACTGGGTAGGCTGAGACAGGAGAACCTCTGGGACTTGCTCATCAGCCAGTCGAGCTCAGTCAGCAAGCTTCAGATTCAGTGAGAGACCATGTCTCAAAAAATAAGGTGAAGAGCAATTGAGAAAGGCATCTGACGTTGACATCTTGCCTATACACGCGTGTGCACACACATGCATTTGCACACATATACACGTGCACACCCCCTCTCTCCACACAATGAGCAAATGAGCTGAATAGACATTTTTCAAAGCAAGATATACAAATGGACAGTAAGGTTATGGAAAAGTGCTCACCACCACCAATCAGGGAAGTGCAAATCAAAACCATAGTGAGGAACCACCTCACCTCAGTGACTTATCAAAAAGACACAATTAGCCAAGGCTAATGAGGATGCAGAGAAAGGCAGTTTCATTGTATGATTTGTTTGTTTTGGATTTCTTTGCTTCTTTATGTGTCTATTTGTTGAGTGTAATGTGTATATGTGTGGGTACATGAGTGCCACCACATGCATGGGATCACAGGTCAACTTGTGGGAGTCGGTTTACTCCTTCCAGTATGTGGTTTCTTACAATTAAACTCAGATTATCAGGGATGGGGGCAAGCAAGTGCTTTTACTGCTCAGCTATCTCGATGGCCCTGGTTTCTTTGTTTCTGTTTGTTGTTTGTTCTGATCACATAATTTCTGCAGCTGAAGTCACAACAAGCAAGATATGCAATGAACCCATGTGTTCATTAGCAGATGGATGAAGAAATATGGCATAAATGCACAATGGAATATTATTCAGCCATAAAGAACAAATCCCCTAGCTTATATAGATGGAACTGGAGAATGATATGTTAAGTAAAATATCAAAAACAAAAGGCAGAGGACCCAGGTTTGGTTCCCAGCAGCTAGCAACTGTCCATAACTCCAGTTCCAGGGGATCTGACACCTTATTCTGGCCTCTGTGGGCATCGCACGCATGGGTGCACATAAATATATGTGGCAAAACACTCATACACATAAAACATAAAATCACTAGTAGAGGTAATTTTGAATATTTCCAACACAAAGAAATAATAAATGTCTTAGGGACAGATATGTCAGTTACTCCGATGTGATCATGGCACATTGTGTACATGTATGGATATAAGATGATCTTTAAAGTCAGGCGTGGTGGTGGACACCTTTAATCCCAACACTTGGGAGGCAGAGGCAGGTGGATTGCTGCAAGATTGAGGCCAAGAGGCTGCAGGGAGACCCTGTCTCAAAAAGACCGAAAAAAAAAGAGAAAAAATTATCTTTAAAAAGGAAATAATGTGAGGATGGAGAGATGGTTCAGCGGTTAAGAGCACTGGTGGCTCTTGCAGAGGACCTGGGTTTGATTCCCAGTGCCCACATGGCAACTAACAACTGTCCATAACTCCAGTTCCAGGGGATTCAGTACCCTCTTCCGACCTCCATGGGCATTGCATGACACGAGTGTACTTACAAGGCCAGCCTGGTCTACATAGTGAGTTCCAGGCCAGCTGGGGCTACAGGGAGACCCTATCTCAAAAAGATGGAAGGAAGGAAGGGGGGAGGGAGGGAGGGAGGGACTGGATAGATGGCTCATTGGTTAAGAGTACTGACTGCTCTTGCAGAGGACCTGGGTTTGATTCCCAGTGCCCACATGGCAACTAACAACTGTCCATAACTCCAGTTCCAGGGGATTCAGTACCCTCTTCCGACCTCCATGGGCATTGCATGACACGAGTGTACTTACACACATGCAGGCAATACACTCATACACATAAATAAAAATAATAACATATTTTTTAAAGGAACTCATGGTTCATGTGCTGTGGATGAAATAGTTTGTCTCAATACTGTTTTTCCTCTTTTCATTCATTAAGCAACACCCCATTCATGGACTGTGGTTGCTGTCTTTTTTTTCAGTACTTCAGTTTGTACCTCCAAGCGTGGACACTGGCTTCTGCAACTTCACTCAGAGCATTGAGAAAGGCCTGATGACAGCGCTCTTTGAAGTGAGAAAACACCAGGGGACATATAACCTCACTGTGCAGGTGAGAGTGCCACGGAATGCAGAGCAGGATGCTCTGCCCTTTAAAGGAAGATGCCCTCCCCTGGAGGAACCCGGCTCAAGTGGGCTGGAGCCGGCCTCTTGCAGGGCAGCTCTACATAGAGCATTTGTGAACTGAGCATCGCTGGGGATTTCAGAGAAGCCGGAAACCAGGGAGTTCAGATACAGTGAGGTGAAGAGAGATGGCCTTGTGCAGGGAACTCAAGAATGTTCTGACAGGGAATGATATTGAGTTAAACAGACAGTGGGGCAACACCTAAATATGCTTCCCTTTTTCTATAGGTTGAGTATTCCAGATCTGGAAGGCTTGGTGCCAGAATTGTTTCGTATGACAGGCTTTTCTGTGAGATTTAGGAATGCCTGCATAGACTTTACTAGTTGAGCTTCCCTAACATGCAAATAGGAAAATCTAAACTTTTCTAAGCATCAACATCATGCTTCAAAGGTTTTGGATGTTGGAGTGCTTTAGTTTTCACAACAGGGATGCTCCATCTGTGTTGGGAGGTAGGGGCACATGGGATATAGTGCCTCAGTCAAACATGGAGGAGACTTTTGATCAAGGGACTGGTGTCATATGTACTGTATATGAACTGCTGATGTTTTGTGATCCTCCCCTACCCCTGTAATCTTTGTTTCCTTCCTGAAATGTGAATGTGAAGTCACTTTCTTTTTTTTTGTTGGGTTTTTTTTTTTTTTTTTTGGTCTTATTGAGGCAAGGTCTTCCTGTAGCCTTAGTTGGCCTAGAACTCGCTATGTAGACCAGGCTGAGCTCAATCTCACAGAGATGTGCCTGCCTCTGGAATTAAAGGTGTGCACCACCATGCTGGGCCTGAATTCACTTTCTTAATTTTCTCTCATGTGGTACTTATCTTTTCATTCTCTATTCTTGCAATCTCTGTTCTCCAAGTCACTAATTTTGCCTTCAGCTCTGTCTGTTATGTTACTCATACTGAGAGTTTTCAGTGGTCATTTCCCCCAATTGTCTTTGCTCTTTTTTCACTGAAGTCTTTCTGATGTGGCATCAGCTTCAGAGTCTCTGAGGATAATTGCAGGATTTAATGTTTGTTCTTTCATTTCCTACACTGTGATGCCTACATGTTGTTCGCTCTGCAGTTGATCTTGTCCTTTGCTTTTGTGCTAGAGGTGGTTTTGTTTCTAGAGGTGGTTGGTTGGTAGGTGGTTGGTTGGTGGTTAGGGATGGAGGTTAGGTTAATTTTGGCAGTTGGCCTGTCTTTCCCTTTCAGCCATGGAGGTTCCTTCTGGGTCAGCCCTGTCTCCAGGTGGGAGAATTCATCTGGGCAGAATGTGTGTGGGTGCACCAAGCTGCACAGCTTGTGGTCAGAGAGAAATGATAGACTGGCCCCACCCTCCTGTGTCAAGGTGGGGAGGCGCTCCTCTGGATGGAGCCCACTGAGTGTTTTCCATGGTGCAGCCTCTTTCCTTTCCTTTTCTTTCCCCTTTGTGTCTTGTATGCTCTGGTGTGCACTGGAATTAGCCATTCCCACCCTCCTTGCTGAGGGTCTGAACCCACAAGAGGCCTTTGGTCTCCTCAGTGAGGGTCTCATTTTCCTCAGAGGACAGTTCTCTGGGCTATTCTGAGGTGCCAGGGGCTGTTGGTGCCTGTATTGACCTGGGTAGAGAAAGAAGAGGAAGGCGGTCAATTGTGCTCTTAGCAAGCAGCCTCTTAATTAATTATACTGACTCCTGCTCTATAAACGGCTTTTGGTGTCAGGTCCTTGGCTCTCTCCAGGGGGACTCCCTAGGCCCTCTTGGGGAGCCTTGGGTGTGCCTATGTGTGTGTTTTGGGTTTTGTTTCTCTCAGTTCTGGTTTATTTCAGGATGATCCTGTCATTTCTCCCTCTTCCAGACATTTGACAGAACTTCTGGTCTTCTTCCATTCTCAGTGCTGTTGTGGATTTACCCACTTTGTTCAGCTTACTGCTATTTCAGTGAGATTTGGGGCAGGAGGCAGATGGGGGGAAGGACTGTAAATGTTTGTGTTCATTCATCATTTAATGTAAAAAACATTCCCAGTAAACTGAGTGTTTGAAGTCTGGAAAAAGGAAACAAGGTTAGAGACGGTCGCTCTTCCTTTAAAAACTTTATGCTCTTTTTAGTCATGCTTCTTGACACTTAACCTGTGATCCCAACACTCTAAGGCAGGAGGTTTAGAGGTTTCCAAGCCTACCTGGGCAACATAGTGAGATCCTGTCTTAGAAAACAAAAACAAAACACCCTTTCACTTTATCCCCTTTTAAAAAAATTCATCAGGAGCCGGAGAGATGGTTCAGCAGTTAAGAGCACTGGCTGCTCTTGCAGAAGACCTGGGTTTGGTTCCCAGAACCCACATGGTAGCTAGCAACCATTTGTAACTCTGGTTCCAGGGGATTCAGCTTTCTCTTCTGGCCTCTGTGGGCACTGCATGCATGGGTACACTTATATACATGCAGGCAAAATACTCATCCACAGAAAATAAAAATAAATAAAATTTAAATATTGATCAGAGAACATGTGAGAGACATTGCAATTATGCTTTCATCTCAATATTTTATTCTACAAGCTTCTTCTGATTTCCTGCTTGCAGATTGTGAATGTCACCATTGGATCTTCGAGAGTGGCTCCTCGGAGGGGCCCTGTGAACATCATCTTTGCTGTCAAAGGCATGCAAGGATTTCTGAATGGGTCAGAGGTGAGCGAACTGCTCCGGAACCTGACTGTGGTGGAGTTCAGCTTCTACCTCGGGTATCCGGTGCTACAAATTGCAGAACGTGAGTACTGGCTAGCTCCTTGGAAGCATGAGGGGAAGGGCTGTGGGTATTTTTGTGGGTGGACTGCTTTTTCAAAAATCCATTTAACCTTAAAAAGACACTGTTTTAGAGCAGTTTTTGGTTCATAATAAACAGGATCCAGTGGAATGGGAGATTTCTCCTGAGCTCTTGCTCTCTCACAGGTACCGCTTCTCCATCTCCACATCCCTGCTTGAGCGGTCCATAGGTTATAGCCAGTAGACACACTCTAACACACAGGTGTCCCCCAGAATCTGTAGCTTATGGTAGGGCTCTGTGTCAGGCTCTGTGTGGGTTTGAACAAATGTATTGTGATCTGTACCGGCCTTCACTGTAGTCTCACTGGGAATTCTTTCTCCAAAGGGAATGCTTGAGTGAACTCCAGAATAGAAGTCAGGTGAAATCAGAACTTCTCGGTTTCCAGCCAGGGGGTCTCCAGAGGCCTTCTCAGCCCCTGTGCCTCCCTTTACTGTTCACTTTTGAGAGTAAAGGGGTGCTATTAAAAGCATTCTGGCTGAGAAAACAAAGCTGTAGGGTTGGAGAGCAGATCTGTGACTGTTGGGGATAAGGTGTGGGAGGACATTTGATGACAAAAGGGTACTAGGCGATTTGGGGAATGAAACAGTACTGTATCACTTGGTTATTATGCAATTATGCATTTACCCAAACATATAAAATGGGATGCGCCCAATAGTGAATTTTGCTATGTATAAATTTAAAAATATAAAAATGTAATAAATGAAGACAGAACCTTTCTACCTGATTGAAGCAGTCAGATTTCCTGGCAATTGAGGGGGAAGGGAAAATGTTTACATCAGAAAGTAACACTTTCCAGTATTGAAGTCAGGAAAAAAAAAAATCAAGTTCTTTTTTAGAATGGACTGGCCAAATAGCCTAAATTATGATTTTTAATGTTCTTCAACATATTATTAATTGACTTAAGAAGATTAACCTGTAAAATATAAAAGTAGGGAGCTAGAGAAATGGCTCACAGTTAAGAGTGTATACTGCTCTGCTCTCTGAGATCAGTTCCCAACACCCACATCTGGTAGTTCACAGCCACCTGTAACCCCAGCTCCACGGGCTCTGACACCTTTTCTGGCCTCTGTGGGTTACTCACACGTGCACAAACCCAGATGCAGATACACACAGACACGATTAAAAAATGAAATAAATCTTTAAAATATCTATATAAGTGGCCAGAAATAAAGCTATTATTTATATATAATAGTTTTGATTAATGCACAATATATGTACTAATGGCTAAAGTAATAAGTGTGCTGGGCAGCATGAATGCATGGAGACTGTCCCCAGCAAACTGACGCTTGGCCTTGAGGCATGGCTGGGAGAGTCCAGGAGAACTTGCAGGTGACCTCTCTGGGAAGCAGCCTCTGTGATGGGACTGGGGGAACTCTTTCCTTTCATTCCCTTCTCTCCTTGAGACAAAGTGCTCAGATGTGGTACCCCTCTGTCTTCACACTAGTATGGTCATTCACCCTCTTGTATTTAGAGTGCTGTAGTGTAGGAAAGATGATGTGTTCTGATTTACTCTGTACTCCCAGAATGTGTCTTTCTGACTGGTAAAGGCATGTTTTTTACAGATTTCTCTTCTCCAACTCTTTGTTTTTTTGTAGCCTTCCAGTACCCTCAGCTCAACGTATCTCAATTACTGAAGTCCTCTTGGGTTAGAACAGGTATGCTCAGTTTATATAATGTTTTGGGAACTGTAAGAGCAGGGAGGGTATATTGAGAATGACACACCCTTCCTGGTTCCTAAAATCAGGACAAGATGTACCTTAAATTCTTGTCAAAGAATGAATGAGAAAGTGATTCAATTTGGGCTGTGGGAATGTGTCCCACTGAGTTATGGCACAGAAAAGATTGACCTTCTTTAAAATTCATACATCAAGTCCAGGGCACCATCTAATGGAATCCGTGGTCCCCTGACCTGGCACAGGAGGAAGCTCTGAAGCAAGAATCTTTTTATTTCCTAAAAGTGCTATTTGGATGAATAAGGTAGTCCTGGGGACTTCGTCAGGTGTTTAGATGAGCTCGGGCACATGTGAGCTGATATGGCCATAGACAGGGTCATGTATTTAGAGTGAGGACAGTTCAGAACAAGGTTTTCTAACCTAGTCCACAAACTCTTAAGAGACAGTTAAACAGTCACAGTTACCTAGTGTGCAAACAGCACGGTGACCAGTGTGAGGAAAGAATGTGACTAAGTAGAGATACCCACCTTTTATGGGGCTCTGAGACCTTATGTGGGGTTTGCTGCTTTGCATGATACATAGATCCCATTTTTCAGACTTCAAAGTGATTGACTTTCCAAGGGTTGAATCTCAGAGAGGGTTGAAACCAGTTCAGGCACTTGCTGTCCTCCCCCACCCCACACCTTGCTGATAAGTTGATTATCTGTTTAGACAATCTTGTTTGATACAGATTACTTGAGGCTGGCAGATTTTAGACTTAGAATCCAAGTCCTAGATTAGATAGGAACTCCCACTATCTCCAGAAGCTTTGAGATAAGTGCAGGCCTACTGATATTTGTTTGATATTGGGTGGGTGATCTGTGCTCCAAGCTGCTTCAGTGCTGAGCTGGGATTTTGGTCTCCAGTCTGCTGTGGTCTGGGGCCACTTTGAGGGCCCTCATTCACCCTATTCCCTGGTTTCCTCTCCTCAGTATCTTCTTAGAGAGTGCCCCTTCCTGTCCTCCACTGACTTGTTTCTTGTTGAATGCAGTCCTTCTGGGAGTCCTGGAAAAGCAGCTCCAGAGTGAAGTTTTTCCTGCTGAGATGGAACGCAAACTGGCCCAGCTGCTCAGTGAGGTGCCCACCAGGAGACGCATGTGGAGGCGAGCCACTGTGGCTGCTGGGAACAGCGTGGTGCAGGTACTCACTGAAGGAGGGTAGAGAGCAGAGGAAAAGCTCACTGGAAACTTGTTTTCATGCACATGGGAAAATAGTGATATGAACTTGATTGCTCTATTAGGTAGTAACTGAATATGGCAGCGTTGAGGCCAACTAGAGTTCAGATAAATACTGATCAAATCCTTGGTAATTGCTTGACCCAGCACTTGACCTCCAGGAACATAGCAGAAGACTTATTTCTGGCTTCCTGGATCATCATAAAGCTTTGCTTTTCAAAAAGTAATTACCAGCACTTTAACTTGTTTTATGAAATGGAAGATCTCACTGATTGCATCTTAAAAGGGAATCATTGATGGGGAGAGAACTCAGACAGAGAGGGGCATTCTGCTCTCTATTCACACATTTCATCTTCCCCACCAGGATCCTGCCAACCCAAGCTGTCTCCTGTTACCCTAGATCTTCACTCTATAAACTGGCAGGCCACAGAAGGCAGATTTGTTTGAATTGAAAAGTGACCCATTTAAAAATGTGCATACTCACAGAATGCTGGGGGGAGCTGTTACTTATTCCTGTCTCCCTGTGAATGATGTGGATTCCTCCCTTTACCAACTACTGACTTGGAGGGTCATAGAAATTGGAGCTCATAGAGCATTTCAGAAACTCCAGACTAGGGTGAAACTCATCAGCGAAGGGTCGCTGGCGGGCAGGGGTGGGAGGCGGGATGTGTTGAAAACAAGATGTGGAAGTGACTGGGTGGGTCAAGGGTGCCAGTTTTGCTTACAGTTGGCATCCTTGTCCTCCAACGCCTTCTCTGAACGTGTCCGTTTTAGCCTTCTCTATTCCTCCTCCCAGAAACATGGTTCTTAGGTTTCTAAAATAGTTCATTTGCCAGATGTAGTCACAATAGAAAAGTTTAAAAAATTACTATTTTTTTTAAAAACCAGTAGAGAGTAATCATCAAACAAATAAGCATAAATAAAGGAAATGAAAATGAATGATTAAATAAGGCTTTGCCTTATTTAGTAGCCTGTAACTTCATACAGCAGAAGGGCTGAGTGTGTGCATAAAGCAGATATAGAGCATTATGAAACTGGATAATAAGATTGGATGCACAAGCTGCCTAAGGCAGGAATATCACACCTGTGCAAGTTAATCAAGCTATTCCAAGCTGATGCCACGTGACAGATTGCTTATAGACTACACTCTGTTTTTAGTCCTCCTTAGTGTGACCAAACATTCACATGTAGTGTGCAATAGATGTTGTGTACAAAAGTACAAATGATAAAGCGTTCAAGGCTGGCGAGATGGCTTAGTGGGTAAATGTGCTTGCTCCAGTTTGATGACCTGAAATTCACCCCCAGGACCCACATGGTGGAAGGAGGGAACTGGGTCCCGTAAGTTGTCCTCTGACTTCCACATGTATGCTGCGGAATGGGAACACACACACACACACACACACACACACACACACACACACGCACGCACACACGCATGCACGCACACGTGCACACACACACAAATAAACGTAATAAAAATTAATAAAAGAGGCAATTGATAGCTGCTGGGAGAGGGAGAGTCAGTTTTCTTTAAGGGTGTGATGCCTGGTAGGTTGACCAGACTCCAAGGATTGGTTGCACACCCAGAGCATTTGGGGAACACAAATTAGATTCCATAGGCCTTAAAAAAATTAGAGAACATGAAGTTGGGAGAGGGTTGTAGGGTGGGAGCTGAGATGAGGGATGGAGGGTTCTGAATATAATCATAATACATTGTATGAAACACTCAAAGAATCAATAAAATATTTTATTTTTTTCTTTTCTTTTTCTTTTCTTTTTTTTTTTTTGAGACAGGGTCTCACTATGTAGCCTTGGCTAACCTGGAACTCTCTATGTAGATCAGGCTGGCCTTGATCTCACAGAGATTCCTGCTTCTGCTTCCTGAGTGCTGACTCTGAGTAAATAAAAGATAGTTTTTAATTAATAAAAGAGCAGGGCATGGTGGTGCACGCCTTTAATCCTAGCATTTGAGAGACAGGCAGGTGGATTGTGGTTAAGGCCAGCCTATTCTACATAGTGAGTTCCAGGCCAGCTAGGACTATAGGGAGACCCTGTTTCAAAACAAAAAACAAACAAACAAAAATTGAATAAAAGAGAAAAGAAAATATTGAACCAACCTAACCGTCCAGCAATTAGGAAGTGAATAGACAGTAAATCTTTATATATTGGAATACTATACAGCCATTTAAAAAATTAGTAATATAGGGGCTAGAGAGATGGCTCAGTGGTTAAGAGCACTGGCTGCTCTTGCAGAGGACCTGGGTTTGGTTCCCAGCACCCACATAACAGCTAACAACTGTCTGTAACTCCAGTTCCAGGAGATCCAACACCTTCTTCTGGCCTCCATGAGTATTGCACAGCACAGGAGCCCTTAACTTACACACTTGCAGGCAAAACACTCATAGACATAAAATGTAATAAATCAAAAAAAATTTTAATTAGTAATAAAGGAAGATGCTCTAGTAGGAATAGGCTATAAAAAGAAACATGCAGTACAGTCTTGTTAATACAGAATTCATGGGGAGCAGAATGGAAGGAACTAAACCAACCTTTGTAGAAAGGTTTTCTTGAATTCATTGAATGTTGAGATTTTCATTTTTTTTCTTTTATACTTTGTTATATGTTTCTCAATTTTTCTTCAATGGGCTATATCATGTCTATAAATGTCAGAAACTAATTTTTAAATGAAATCGAAGCCTCACTTGAAGTGGTGACTTTCTGATTCCTTGCATATTGTAGCTCCCGATACAAATCTGATTAGCCGTTACTCAGTGAGGATGCTGGATGGAAGTAGACGTTCTGACTGCTGCCTTCAGACTGGAAAACTTGGAGAGTCTTTAGTCAAAGTAGCTATTGTTAGATACCTGAGAAGTAGTTATACTTCCTAAATTTGCCAGACATAGGCTGGAGAGATGGCTCAGCGGCTAAGAACACTGACTGTTCTTGCAGAAGACCAGGGTTTGAAGCCCAGCACCCGTATGACAGCTAACAACTGTCTGTAACTCCAGTTCCAGGGGATCCGACAGCCTCTTCTCTCCTCCATTGCCGTTGCACGACACGGGTGCGCTTATACTGACAATACATGCAATCACATAAAATAAAAATAAGAAATAAAATATTAAAAAATAAAAATAAGCTGGGCGTGGTGGCACATGCCTGTAGTCCCAGCACTTGGGAGGCAGAGGCAGGCAGATCTCTGTGAGTTCAAGGCCAGCCTGGTCTACATAGTGAGTTCCAGGACAGCTGGGGCTACAGGGAGACCCTGTCTCAAAAAAATAAAAAAATAAAAAAATTACCAGACTTTTCAATAGAAAAGGTAGCGGTAGAAAGAAAGCAGATAACAGTCTTCTTGGTTTTCTTGCCCTTTGATATACCCCATTCAACAGGCTAATAAAAATTATCCCCTACAGTACAGTCAGGAGGGAGGGAGCAAGTGGTTTGGAAGCACAGATGTGGTTAGGAAACTGGCCTCAGCAGCAAACAGAGGACAGGACATATGAGCCCTGACAGTGTACTAGTGCTCAGACAGAGTACATGGAATGTTCTTAGGGGTTCAGAGTCTGGACCCATGTTATTAAGGATCTTTGGGAGCTGGAGAAATGGCTCAGCAGTTAAGGGCACTGGCTGCTCTTGCAGAGGACCCTGGTTCAAATCCCAGCACCCACATGGTGAATAACAACTGTCTGTAACTCCAAGGGAATTCTGACACTCTCTCCTGACCTCCGTGGGCATTGCATGACACAGGTGCACACACAGGCAATAAATTTTTTTTTTAAAAAAGGATCTTTGGACATGGTCTGGATGAAGAAGTTCCCAGTGAAGTCATGAAATGATTGATTTGCTGGAAGTTTCCTGAGGTAAAGGAGGAGTCCAGATGCTGTGCCCAGAGCAAGGGGGCACGTCACCAACCCATCCTTATCCTCCTGGAGAGAGAAGTAACAGCCGTGTTTCACTAATGACAACTGTACAAACCAAAAATTCAAATTGCACATGCAAAATAAAGGGCCTGTTGAGCATTTCTCAAGATGTCAGCACAGTGTTTGGCTGATGTCTAAAGGGCAATAAAGTGGTTGCATGTTATTAAGAGAAACAGCATAATGCAATGAAGCAAAATGTCATATTAATGAGATACACTAAATGTACAAGATTTGGAAGCACAGAGAGGTAAATTCTAGGTGACAAATAAGATCATACATATATAAGGCATTTAGCTTGTCTGGAGATTTTTTGATTATCACAGTAGGTAGCACAGGGAGACAAAGTTGGTACTGGCATCTGGTGGACAGGGCACAGGGACGATGCTAACTATCTATTGTCACCTATGTCAGAGGTCAAACATCAGTAATGCCAAGGTTGAGAGCAAGAAGTGCTCTCAGGAAGAAATTAGGTAGAACTATTCATAGTCAGGGTACAGCAGCACCCTCCCAAGACATAGTGGGTTTGTTGGAGGTTGTCAACAATGATTCCAGACTGCCTGGCCATGCCGGTCCTTATGCCCTGTGTATCCCACTGGCTCCTTTGTTTCAGAAATGTTGAATAACACAAAGTGCAATTCTATTCTGCCCAGAAGAACTCTCATTTTAACTGTCTTTCAGAGAGCACTGTGGTGATTCTGGGGCTTTGGGTGGAGTAAGGAGCTTCTTAAGAGGGCTGGAACTAATCCCAGTCTTATTCGGGACCAAGTGGCCCAAGGAGGGGCATCTGGACATGCGAACTTCCTCCGCATTGATGGCTTCTGTACTCTCTCAGGTGGTGAACGTGTCCAGGCTGGAGGGAGATGACAACCCTGTGCAGCTCATCTACTTTGTGGAAAATCAAGATGGAGAGAGACTCAGTGCAGTCAAGTCTTCAGATCTGATCAACAGGATAGACCTTCAGAGAGCAGCCATCATCTTGGGTTACCGAATTCAAGGCACCATTGCCCAGCGTAAGTCTAAGACTTCTAGCCTGTTGGCTGTGCTGGGTCCAAATCCACTTGTGTTTTGATAGTGAGCTCTGAATTTACAGCATTCTGATGTATGATAGTTTTTATCTTGAAACCTTGTCCTGAAGTGATGCTTATGGAAGGTGCCAGTTGTTAATGTTCATTTGCTGAGACCTTTTAATAAAGTGATTTATTATCACTCTGTGTGTGTGCATGCGTGCATGTACATGCACAATGCAAATGTGCCATATGCATGATTGGAGGTCAGAGGACAACTTTGTGGGATCTAATCTTTTCTCCCACTTACATGGATTCTGGGAATTGAATTCAGATCGTCAGGTGTGTATGGCAGGCATTTTTTGGCTGAACCATCTCACTGGCTTCGTTGTTGTGGATTTCTACCTCTATGACCATGGCCATTGCTACTGTTTTTCCTACTTTGCATCTCATAGTCTAGGGTTTATACTGGGTCATAAAACCTTAAATCAACACTAATATTTTCCCCTTCATCCCTATACTATTTCCTTTTAAAAGCTTTGCCTTAGGTAAAATATTGTGCCTGTTCTATTTTTCTTCCAAAATCTTCCCTGTCACACTCTTGCTGGGGATAGCAAGTCACTCAGGAAGCCAGGAGGCACACTCCAAGTGGATTGGCTTCTCCAGGATCTCCTAACACAAAGGCAGCCTTGATCCCTACCCTCTTCAGTCCTGTTCCTCTCCTACCCTTGCCTCACATGGCTCAACCAGTTAGAAAGAGGCATTTGATATTTCTTATTGTTGGAAGGCACTTGGCCCTGCCCCTTGGCAGTGACTGCAGTTAGTACCTCTTTTCCAGCTCTCAGATTTTGGGTAGATACTTAAAATGAAGAAAAAGGAGGGGCACAGAAAATCTTATTTCTCTAAATATGACTTTTCAGATCAGTCTGCTGTTTTATTTAAGCTTAAAATTTTTTTGAATTTTTATTTTTTTCAAGTTTATTTTTATTTTATGTATATGAGTTTTTTGTCTGCATGTATGTAAGTATACTCATGTGTGTAGTGCTAGTGGAGACCAGAAGAGGGCATTGGATTCCCCTGGCACTGGAGTTACAGATGGTTGTTAGTGTGATGTGGGTGCTGGGAACGGAACCTTGGTGGTCTTTGGCAAGAGCAGCCAGTACTCTTAATCACTGAGCCTTCTCTCCAGTCCAATAGTGCAGTTTTAAAAGATAGTGTTGAAATTAATCCTTGGAAGTGAAAGACTCTTGGTGAAATCTGTTCTTGTCCCTAGAGACTAACCTGGGTGAGGGTTACTGGGTACACATCCTTCATCTGATAGAAGATGATGGATGGTTTAAGTGATAATTTTGGGTAGGCTGTGTCAGTGTGCTTGAAATATCTGCATGTTAGTGTGTTCTGTTTAATCAGTGCTTCTGGGGGCTGGAGAGATGGCTCAGTGGTTAAGAGTACTGACTACTTTTGCAGAGGACCTGGGTTTGATTCCCAACACTCACATGGCGGCTGACAACCATCCATAATTCCAGTTCCAGGGGAAATTCAGTGCCCTCGTCTGTCCTCTACAGGCACTGCACAACACGGGTGCACTTACACACATGCAGGCAATATACTCATATACATAAAATAAAAATAATAAAATATTTTTAAAAATCAGTGCTTCCAGAGTTCCAGGGATAATGGTGGGAGAGGTGTTTTAATTATATTTAATTATATTATATTATATATTTTAATTATGTATATATGCGTATGGATTTGTACATGTGTGTACAGTGCCCTCAGATCCCCTGGAGCTAGAGTTACAGGCAGTTGTATGCTGCCTGATGTGGGTACTGGGAATGGAACATGGGTCCTCTGGAAAAGCAATACATACTGTTAACTGCTGAGCCATCTCTCCAGCCCTAAGGTGTAGCCCAGGCTGGTCTCGAACTTGTGATCCTCGTGCCTCCATCTCTTCAGTGTAGCCTGTAGGTGTATGCCCACAATCAGCCTCCCTCCATTTTTTAAACAAGGTTAATTTCAATGGATCTGGGCATCTTTTGTTGTGGTACACAGGGAGTTAGGGAATGATGGAGGTACATTTTTCCAGATACTCTCTTCCAAGTGCTTGTCACTGTCCACAAGTTAAAAAATCAACCAGTGCTGGGCGTGGTAGCGCACGCCTTTAATCCCAGCACTTGGGAGGCAGAGGCAGGCGTATCTTTGTGAGTTAGGCCAGCTTGGTCTACACAGTGAGCTCCAGGACAGCTGGGGCTACCGGGGCACCCTGTCTCAAAAAAAAAAAAAAAAAAAAAAAAAAAGATCAACCAGTGCTGGCTTTTTCTTAAATAATGAGAAATTCCTGTGTAGTTTCCCACAGACTACAAAGCTAAAAGAGAAACCAAAGGTGATAAAATGTGGTTAAATACTTTACCCTCAGCCTCAAAGGACAGAACAGGTAAACTGACAACAATAAAATGTGGTCTGCTATTTTCCCCTACCTAAAACACACATCCTAATTTGGACCATACATGTGACCTGCGACCCCCAGAAAGTACCGATAACCGCTCTGTGACCCTTTCAGGTGGACTTAGGCCTGTATTGGCAAAGTAGGGCTTCTGGACCCTGGCTAACGCTCACATTCCACACAGTGCAGGTGTCTACCTTACTCTTCTGGCAGAGCTTTCCATATTGAGCACACATGCACAAGATCCTGAAAAATCAGAGCTTGATTTCCACACACATGGGGCCCCGTTTTCACACCTGGAGACCTGTTACCCTGTCCACTTTATCCCTCAATAAAAGCCACAGAGGACAAGACACAGGGCAGTCAGGCCTTTCCATCTGCCCACCTTCCCTTAGCAAAGTGTACTTGACTCTTGGTTCATTAAAGGTGTACTTAACCTTTCCCCTGGTCTTCCTGTCCTTCCTTGTCTATGAAGTGTTCTAACTTGAGTCACCTTATCCCAGGACTCCTTTCATCTCATCCTACACCTCTCCTTCCCTGGTTTCATGCTGAAGGCCCTGTGGATGACCGTCTTGGGATTTCAGGGTTGATCAAAGAAGGAAGCATCAGTTCACACCAGAGCCAGTCCAGGAGCCTTGAGGACCTACCTCTCCAGGGTTTTCCTAGATTGTAACTAAGAAGACCATCAGTTCCCTCAGCTCCTCCACTGAACTGTCACTGCTTCTTCTTATGCAAAATGAACTGCAAGCCTCAGGGATCCTCCTCTCTGTCCCACACAGTGCTGGGGTTACAGGCATGAGTGTGGCTATTGCCCCACTTTTACATGAGTATTAGGGATTTTTCTCAGGTCCTCATGTGTATGCAGCAAGCACTCTGACCTTCTGAGCCATCTGTACAATATCTCCTTTCCCTTCTAAAAGCTGATTAGTACTGTGCCATGTGGATGTACCACTTTTCATTTGTCCATTCACCTGCTGATGGATTGGGGGTTGTCCCCCGTTGGCTCCTGTAACTAATACCACTGTGAACATCCTTTTCATGTTCTCAGGTGCTGAGGTGGAAATGGCCAGTTGGCCTTGTTGTAGGTCATGAACTGTTTCCGTTAGTTGATACTGCAAGTGACAGATACCATTATTTAGGGTTCGTTTCCTTGGTAGTTTTCCCTTGTTTGTTGGCATGTCCTTCCTTTAGAATGGTAACTGGTACCCTTGTACACATTTGTGGATAGACAGGGGAGAGGGAGTGGGAAGGGGAAGGGTTTCTTCCTAGGTCTCTGAGTTCTAGCTCTTAGTCTCTCTAGAGACCAGGAGGATGTGATTTCCACTCTGTTGGGTGAAATGGCCATAACCACGTGGACATGTAGCATTTGAGGAGAACCACTTTGAACAAGGTTGTATGGAACTAATTTTGGTATGGAAATATAATGGGGTGGGAGGAATAAACTAGAAGCCAAGAGACTAGAGTCCACTGAGCTTTGCTATTCCATTAGCCATGTGCCTTCAGACACATCATATGTGTCTTTCTGGTCCCTAATGTGCTCATTTGCCTGGTCATCTTTCCTGTCCTTGAGATATTGTAACCCACATTCTTGCCTTCGGCTGAAATGGCAGTCTTGTGAGTTTCTCGGGAGAAGGCTCATTCCCTTTAGGAAATGAGTGAGGAGCGTGGTACTGACAGCCTTTCTTTCTTGTCTATAGCTGTGGACAGGGTGAAGAGGCCGTCCCCGGAGTCCCAGAGCAGCAACCTGTGGGTCGTTGTTGGTGTGCTCATCCCAGTGCTGGTGGTGACAGTGATTGTTGTCATCCTCTACTGGAAGCTCTGCCGCACGGACAAGCTGGACTTTCAGCCTGACACGGTGGCCAACATACAGCAGCGGCAGAAGGTAAGTACCCTTCCCACACCAGGGTAGCAGAGACAAATTCGAGGCCCTTGATGCTGTAAGACAGGCCACTCAAAGAATGTTCTGGGTCTAATGGCAGGGTCCTTTGTCTATATGTCTGCTTGCCATAACCCTGGTTCTCTGTCCTAGGGGATACATTCTGGGAACACGAGCTGTAAGAACACTTAGATGCAAAGTGGGCTCTGGGACCCACTGTAATTTTCTTTTTTGAGAGGCTCAGGAGATTGTTACATGCTGTGCATGAGTTCTGCCTGTCTCACCAGGCTGCTTTTAGGGAGCAGTGGCCACGCAGGTTGCCCCGGATCTGTGGCTCTTTCTTTTGTGCAGATCTACCAGATGGCTGCTTTACTTTTCTGTCCATGTCGGGACCCTCCCTATCCACTTAATCAAGAGCATTTAATCATTTAAAAGTTTTTTAAAAATACTTTTATTTTTACTTTATGTATATGAGTATTTTGTCTATATGTATGTAAGTGCACCATGGCATGCAGTGCCCATGGAGGCCAGAAGAAGGTGTCAGATAACCTGGAACTGGAGTGAGGGGCAATTGTTAGCTGCCATGTAGGTGCTGGGAACCAAACCTGGGTCCTCTGCAAGAGCAGCCAGTGTTCTTAAACACTGAGCCATCTTCTCAGACCCTTGGTTTTCTTTTTTTAAAAAATGTTATTTTATTTATTATTTTTATTTTATGAGCATGAGTATATCATTTGCATGTATGTAAGTACACCTGTGTCATGCATTGCCTATAGAGGTTAGAAGAGGGTATTGGATTCCCCTGGAATTGGCCTTATGGGATAGTTGTTAGCTGCTATGTGGATGCCAGGAATCGAACCTGGGTCCTCTCCAAGAGCAGCCAGTCCTCTTAACCACAGAGCCATCTCTCTAGCCCTGAGTTTGGTTTTCTTTAAATAACAAAGAAATCTCAGTACACAATTTTCTACTTTTTTTTTCAATGTTTCCACTCCCCACTCCACCCCACCCCACCCTACTCTTATGTTTTTTTTAAATTTATTTTTATTTTATGTATATAAGTGTTATGCCTGCATGTGTATAAGTGCACCCATGTTGTGCAATGCCCACGGAGGCAGAAGAAGGCGATTCCAGAATCTCCTGGAACTGGGTTATGGTCGGTTGTTAGCCACCATGTGGGTGCTGGGATTTGAACTCAGGTCCTCTGTAAGAATAACCAGTGCTGTTAGCCACTGAGCCATCTCTCCAGCCCCCTCCCCTTTTTTAAAATGTTGATTTGCCTACACCTAATTTGATAGCAGTTTTTAGCACCCCAGTTTTCAGGTGTCTTTCCAAAGCATTAGCTTTTGTAGAAACAGCAATTTTCTTTCACTTGTATGTTTCAGAGTTTTTGTAATATTGTCACATCAGGTTTCATAGTAAAGAAATTGACTTTGGGTCAATGTCTGGCAGCTCACCTGGTGTGACCAAAAAAACATGCCAGAATTCTAGAGATGTCAGAGCCGTAGACATTGACCCAGCATGCATTTCAGCCAGTGTGCTTAGTCCGTGTGCCGTATCCATTAGTGCATGCTCTCTGTATAGAGTCTTTCCTACTTGGAAGAGTCAGTCTATCTGAAGTTTGGTAAGACTAAGTAAACAAAAGGCAAAAGAGCAAGGAATAGAAGGTTGCCATGGTAGCCTGATTTTATTCAGGTGGGCTAAAAAATATTCTGGGTCTTATTCTGGCCTGAGGTGCATGCCTTGTAGTCCCAGAACTTGGGCAGTAAAGGCTGGAGGCTCACAAATTCAAGGCCAGCTGGAGCTATATAGTGAGATGCTGTCTCAAAAAAAACCCCAGCAGAGGCTGGGGTAATGGTTCAGTGAATAAAACAGTTGCCACGCAAGCATGAGACCCAAAGTTCAGACACCCAGAACTCACTTTGAAACAGGGTAAGCATGGTAGTTGAGGAAGGCACCCAACATCAGCTTCACACACATGTGAGCATGCATCTGCCAAACAGCACACACATATGCACACCCCCAAATAAAAAAAAACTAAACAAGAAAACATAAATATTGCAAATCTCAACCTACTGAATGAAAAAAGTAAGTTTAATTTTTAAGTTTATTATACACCTATAAAAGTAAATAGGGAATATTTTGTTTTCTTATGAATTGCAAAGCTTTTATTACATTGCAAGCTATGGCTGTCAGATATAATAGAAGCATTTTGTACATCAATATTATCTTTCCCACCCTTCTTCATTTATAATTTAGATAATCTGCTATGGTCGTTTTGTTGTTGTTATTATAACAGCAAATGACATGGAAAAAGGACCTGCTGTGATGTGAGTCATAGTGTGACTTTGGGCAGTCAGATCAACAGTAGGGAGGGAAATGTTTTGTTCTGGTGAAAGAATATTGTTACAGGAAGACTTAGCCAGGGGAGGTGGCTGTGTATCTAGGCCTTTCTGCTCTGTTTTCTGCAGTGCGTACTCCTTGTAGAAGCCTTGTCTGTTATAAACTATCAGAAAGTCAGCATCTCTCGAACTGAAAACAGGATATTCCCTAAGCTTTCTCCCCTCGCTTTTACTTCCGAGGTATTTCCATGTGCTAGATGTTGCTATAAATCAAATGGACAGTTCCAAGCCCTTGGAGTCTCTTTCTCTTCAGGTGCTGCAATGGTCTCTGCTTACATGCTTACAGCCTTGTTGCAGCAAAGGGCTTCTGCTCCTCAGAACCCCCAGAGATCACTGTCTGCTCACACCATCAGGAGGCGAGACCTTGATGAAGTTTCAGGGGTCTGGTCTGTCTTGCTTTGCTAGTGTTACAGCTGTTGCATGGGTGTGTCATAGGTCTGTAGTAGGAAAACCAAGGTCTTTCTTCAGTTTAAACCAACCTCTCTGCTTGCTTCTAAGGCCACACAGCAGTAGCGAAGGCCTGTAGCCTGTCCCCTGAGGTAAGTAAGCAACAAGGTGCTGTCCTCTTGTGACTATAAGCGCTCCTTCCCTGCTTGCTTGGCACACCCTGATGCTGCCTTGCATTACTCTGTGAAATCCTTCAGCGAATCCCAGAGTTGTGAACATCTGGAAACAATAAATCTCACCTCCTTCTCCTTGTAATGAAGAGGCCTCTTCAGATTGTCTGGGAGTCCCTTATTTTTGAAATATGATAAGAGGGAGAGGCCATTCTGTTTTAGGATTTGAGGCAAGGCCTTTTCTTTTTCCAGTAATAAAGGGGAAAGAAACTTCATATATCTTTCCTTTATCTGTATTTGCTTTAATCTCTATCCAAAGCCATAATTTGTTATTATTACCTATGAAACTACAGTGTGGATCTTGCTCACCATAAATGGTGCTGGCTGGGTGGTAATTTGTTCCTTCTGATGGCAACAGTCCATACCCAGCTATTAGCATGGATACCCTCAGGTGCTTATAAAGTTGGCACTGTGGGCAGCCCAAAGGAGCTGTCCCCAGACCATGTGTGACCATTACCCAGACTCCTGAACTTGCAAGCCAGACTAAGTTACAAATACAAATAGCAATCAGCCTGCCTTACAGGGCTGAAGTCAGGAAGAAAGGCTAGTTACCCCCCAAAGTTGACTTGCAGCAATACAAGAACAGCTAATGTGTGTATGTGTGTGTGTGTGTGTGTGTGTGTGTGTGGCAGGGCTTTGGGTGGGCTTTGCTGCTGGTCAGAACAAAGCAGGTGATATTGGGCTTGGACTGAGGTGGAAGAGGCAGTGTGACCTGCAGAGGGGATGCGAGTGGTACAGGAAAGCTGGAACAAGCTTAGAGGGAAGAGCACAGCCAGGTGACAGAGTGCCCATCTCAAGAGGCTTGCGAGACATGTCCAGGGCTGGAACTCATGCTTCCAGCAGTGAGCAGCCACCACAGGGGTTTTGGCAAGAGGAACAGCCTGGGCACCTTTCCACCTGCGGTGGTCACTTTAGAAGGTGATATGCACAATGGCTTGAAGAGAAATGCCATCAAGCACTCCTCCCTGGCTCTACATTCAGAGTCTGCCACACAGAGTTCTCTAGATCCCTAGCATCCAACCTCAGTAGTCTCTGGGTAGAGAACCTTGGAGTGTTGTCTCCCAACTCAAGGTCCCATGTTGGCTGCACTGAAGACAAGCAGATGGTCGCAACTTTGCCTCGTCTTCACTTTCTAAATGGAAACAACATGGTGGCTGTGGGGATTTTTCCCAAATTGCATCCATCAAGTAACAAATGCATACAATAGCGCTCTCCACAAGATTGCAGTTTTTTATTCAGACACTGGGGATTTGCTCTGTGGTTTCTATTGTCATCCTAACTTCCCCTTCCCTGGTGGTCAGGCAGATGGAGCACTGGAGGCTTTGCTGTGTCTTGTTCCATCTGGGTCTTGTTATATTTATGGCCCACGTGATTTAAAATTCATCAGGCATCTCTCTTGGTACTTGGCTGACCTGCCGGACTAGACCTCCCTGACTTGTCGGCAGTGTGTTCCCGTGGGGCTCAGACAACGTGGCTGTCCTCTGCATGATATATTAGAGAAGAGAACAAAAGAACCATCCATCTTCAGGAATAACTGGGCCTTAATTTGCATATTGAAGACTAATTAATCCTGACTCCTCTTCTATGAAATGCTGATTGGAGCCCATTCACATATGGAATCTGGGGGGTGTAATGCCATCCAGGCTTAACTCTACTTTTTTTTTTTTTTAAAAGAAATGGAAAAACTAGTTTCTAGTGATTCAGAAAATAAGGCTAAAAGCAGTGAATTCAGTTTTGTGTGTGTGTGTGTGTGTGTGTGTGTGTGTGTGTGTGTGAGATATTTTAGTAATTTTTTCCCTTTTGTCTGTAGATGGCTTTTTGTTTTGTTTTTGAGACAGGGTCTCACTCTGTAGCCCACATAGTGGGCCTCAGTTTTACAGAGATCCACCTGCCTCTGCCTCTCAAGTGTTGGGATTAAAGATCTGTGCCACCATGCCTGACCTGTGTAGATGGCTTTGAGTTATGTTTAAGCACATATTACTTGCCCTATTTT